TTGGTAAGAATTAGCATAATATTTGTGATTAACTTTATATTAAACATGATTGTTCGCTGTTGTGGTGAATGTGGCTAGACTGTTTGTGTGTATTGTATTTTTAATTAGTATTGTACGTTGTTTATAAATTATTTTAAATATAGTGTATTTTTGATAATTAAATGTAGCATAACGCAAATAAATAAATATTTATTATAGTTATTTATTAATACTTTTAAATATAATATCGCATTAATATTTTTAATTATAACAGTTTTATTTTGTGAACGTGATAAAATTTTGTATTTTTATAAATTTTGTTAATCTCTTAATGTATACAATAGTTATTGAATTTAATTATAGTGTGTTATGAAATAAATAAATAAAAATCTATAAACAAATAATTAATAAAATATAAAATAATAGCAATATTTATTCTAAAACTATCACATTTAATGACTAACACTAGTTAAATTTCAATTCAATTTTCTTTAAAACTAGAATAGAATATATTTTTAAAAAAACTATATATACGTTAAATATTAAAACTAATTTATATGCATATCAACTATTAAAAAATAACAATAAATCAGTTCATGCAAAAATTACTTAACCTTGCATATTCTCATTTATCCAATCAACATACTCACTGACCCGGGTATACAGACCGGGTTCGACACCTACTGTATCCCCGACGGCTAACACACCGATAAGCGACCATATATAAAGTTCCGGATTGTAATGCATTAGCGGTGAGCCGCCGATATGACCAAATTGTTGCCAATCATTATCATCAGCGCAAAGCATACCTGTCCCTATGCCCGACATCCGGCGTCCGGCCGAACTCATACTGCAGGCTGTTTTATTCCACACAAGTAGGTCATTTCGTACCATCTTGCCCACCCCCGTATGCCAGCCAATTACCGTTGCCCGTTGACCGGCGTACTCGTCCGGACTCCCGGTGCTCGCGGGTAGGCATATATGGTTTGGTAAGACACGTTGGCTGAGCTTAATAATCGCCAGATCGTTGGCGTACGCGTAGTCCGTGTAGTTGGGGTGAGATTGCAGCTCATGGATTCCGTACTCCGTCTCCACCCATGAGTAAGCGTTTACTGCGCCTAACCGTACGACCAGATCAGCGCTTGAGGCGCCAGCGCTACGCAAGCAATGAGCGGCCGTCAGTACCCATTGATCGCCGATCAGAGCGCCACCGCATACCGGACCGCCGGTGGACCCGCGTATTGTCAGCTCCGCCATCCACGGCCACACTTCGTTATAGGTATCGGTTGGGAGAATACCGCATACCGTCACTATTGGTTCGGTTGATGTCGAACTAGGTGGAGCTGTAAAACTACAACTAGGTATAGATTGCCCGGTGCTAACGTCCGGCCACTGTTTATTAATAGTTGAGGTTGGTGGTGATTGGTCACGTGATCCAAACCAACCTAGTGCACCTAGGATTAACGCACCTAAGCCTAAAATGCCCCATGTGATTGCGGCCATTGAGTTTATAAGATTAATTATTTTGCTTCTGATTAATTAATAAAACTTATTTTCAGATAACAATTAAATAGTTAACTTAGATAAATAAAAATGTATGTTATGTATAAATTGATTTGTTTAAACAATACTTTATATACGGTACTATAACTTTAGTTTATAAGTTATGCTAACTTTATGAACATACAGTACTTAATTATAATTAAAAAATTCCTTTGTTGTTTAAAATAGGTTAAATTGATTGTCATATTTGTATCGCTATGCTTTAATAAGAATATTAGTATTCATATACAATAATTATATTATTGGTTAAAATATTATATGGATAATTTATTATTAAATAAATGCTAACTTTAACAATGATTTATGTATTAGTTTTTATAACGAATACTCAATACTCACAACATATAAAATAATTGAAATAATTATTTTAATTACTTTAATAACGCTAATGTAAAACAAACTGTAATACTTGATAATTATACTTATTAAAATAATATTATTTATTCAAATATTATTATTATCCATTAATGTTTATGGATACATTAATGTTTGTGCGTTATGACTTTAAATTATCCATTATGTTATCGATTGCCAACTAAATTTATATTTTTCAGTTTAATATATAAATTATATAACAATACCTGTGCTCATAAGTATTGATTTATTAATTATTAATTACTATAGACATGTTTTAAATAGTATTATGTAAAGTATTATGCATATTATTTGATGGGCAAATAAATTTTTATAAATAATTTCAAGGTTTAATATTTTGTTTTATTGGTTATTATAATTTTATTTCAGTATTATATAATTTTTTATTCTATATTATTGAATTAAAGTTACGATCAAGATATCAACTTATTAAATTCCAAGGGTAACTTGCTCATTAAATAATTAAAGACATATAATTACATATTATAAGCTAGTTGTGCACATTGAAATAAACAGTTTATATTATAATTTAGGCAAATTTTTCCCCATTATAAAATATTATATAAAACTTATTATAATTAAAATCTGATTGTGTAATTAATATAACAAACATAAACTATGTAAGTTGATAAGGTTGACAACTTGGTCGTCCGTTCAATTGTATGTATAGCGCTACTGATTGGTTGCATTTGGCATATTGTCAATATCAGTATCACATACTTCAGGTATGAGTATCTGTTGACTATAAACCTAGTTGACTAAACTACTTTGATTAACATAAACCTTTACATTTTACCTATTGTAATTTAGCTGTGTTTATATGGTAGAGTATTCTTAGTAAATTACATGTAAAGTATATTTAATCAATTATATCTAATCAAATATAATGCCATTACCGTTACTATAATATTTAATAAATGTTGCAATACCCAAGTCAAAAATTTAGTCCACAGTTAACATAAGTGAAAAATTTTAAAAACTAAATATCACTTTAGTTACGAGACTACAGTAACCCCAGTGATCGAAAAGGTGCAAGTGGTAGAGCTGCCCTCATTCACTATATGCACAAATATAAGCTACGTGATCGACGCGGACTATTTACGGCACCGGTACCCAAACGACACGGCACTGGCAAACATAACCGACACCAATGACAACGAATGGCAATACAATCAATACCTGTTTAACCTAACACTGGAGGAGCAACTTTTGAACGGCACGATCGGCGCCAACCGGTTCTTCAACGCGTGCCAAGTGATGAAACCCCGGGCCGTGTTGTCGTCGGACCAGTATATTGACTGCTCTCTGGTAGCACCGGTGGTCGAATCAATTAGCGCACAATTTAAATGTTTCACCATGTTCAGTCAAAACATAAGCCAAATGGCACACATGGATCGGTATCGCGTGGACCACGACGTGATGTTTTGGGACAACGCTTTTCCCCTGACTTCGTTCGCACTGAACGCCCAGTACTTACACGATCTGACCATTTCTATGCACGACCGGCGGGAGCCGTTTGTGGGCCCCATTGGCGGACAGTTGACCGCCCTGTATGTCGATTATCAACGTTATATAAGTAGCTATTTTTCGTACAAAGCACTCGATATTGAACTACTGCCCAAACCGTACCAGACCCAATGCGTCGACTACCACCACTACGGGTATCGGTCGCAAAACCACCATGCTAACAAATGTCGAGCCAAGTATTACCGCGATCATTTTGCCGGCTGGCAGCCGGACATGCTCTATAACGATGAATATTATGGTAAACTAAATTATGCGGACATTAGTTTGACAAACAATCGTACGGTTGATAAACAAATAGCTCACCACTGCGTCAAACGGATAGGCCGTTGGCCCGACTGTCACTCAATGCACTACACTATGAATAAGATTTTTAATCAACAGAGAGATAACAATAGTAATGATCATGAGTGCTTTAGAGTGCTTTAATTTGCAGTTATACATTACGCATCACCATAAGATTTACACCATGGTGTAAATTAAAAGCACTCATGGTAATGATTCAGCTTCTTATTTTTATGCAACTTTTTTTATGCCCACTAGTACAATTACCCGTTACATCTATTCACCCCGTATGGAGTTGTCTGAGTATATGGGCATTGTTGGCGGTGCGTCGGGCCTATGGTTTGGTCTAAACATACTGGCCTTTTATGATATTGGCCAGTCTTTAGTGAGAAAAGCACGTGCACTTTTTAATTAATATATTGTACTGAATATAATATCTACAGTATACTTATATTATTGCTTACGTAAATGTTTGTAATTCGATTGACATTCTCAAATAATAAAATAAATGCTTACAATGGTTTCAAAAAATACAATGGTTTTTAATAACTGACCTACTAAAATGTATTCAACTTATTAAGTAAATTTAATTAAAAATAGTTTTAATGAAACTAGAGAAATGTTGTAAATACTGTAGTATTGTATATTTGATAGCAAATTAATATTTTTGTAAATAATTTCAAGGTTTAATATTTTGTTTTATTTATTATTAGGTATCTAATTTACCTTGAATTTAACAAACTCACTTACTTGCTCACTGACATTTATGACAAACTGTTGTATAATAATATTAGTTTACATAATCATATTAATAAGTCGACGCATTTATTACAACAATACAAATTAATTTATAATTAAATATTAATTCAATACAAAATATTATTAGAATAATTATTATAATTAATACCAACTGTGTAATTTAAACAACAAACATTAACATGTTTGTCGAAAATGCTAATAAGTTGGTCGTCCGCGCGATTGTATGCCTGGCGTTACTGATGGGTTGCATTTGGCATATCGTCGATATCAGTGTCATATACTTCCGGTATGAGTATCTGTTGACTAAACTACTGTAGTAAACATAAACACTTACATTTTACCAATACTAATTTAGTTGTGTTTATATGGTAATGTATTATTACTAAATTACTTGTATGTTTAAACAAATACAACGCATTTACAATTATATTTAAGTAAATTTTGTAATTCCCTTGTAAAATACTAACTTTGTATTTGTATTTGTATTTCAAAATCAAAATTTTAGTCCAAAGTTAACACAAGTAAAAAAAATTTAAAAACAGAATATCACTAATAATAGGTTTGTCAACACTTTAGTTACGAGACAACAGTATCTGTAGTGCTCGAAAAGGCACAGGTGGTTGAGTTGCCCTCATTCACAATATGCACTAATGTTAGTTACGCGATTGACGTGGACTATTTACGGCACCGGTACCCAAACGACACGGCACTGGCAAACATAACCGACAACAATGAAAACAAATGGCTATTCAAACCATACCTCTATAACCTAACACTGGAGGAGCAACTGATGAAAGGCACGATCGGCGCCAACCGGTTTTTCAACACATGCGGAGTCCTGAAACCGCGGGCCGTGTTGTCATCGGCCGAGTATTATATCGAGTGCGCGTGGATAGCACCGGTGGTCGAATCAATTAACGCAGAATTTAAATGTTTCACCATGTTTAGTCAAAACGTAAGCCAATTGGCGGACAACGATCGGTACCGCGTGGACCACGACGTGATGTTTAGGGACAACGCTTTTCCCCTGACGTGGTTCGCAATGAACGTCAAGTACTTACAGGATTTGGACATTTATATGCACGACCGGCGGGAGCCGTTTGTGGGCCCCATTGGCGGCCAGTTGACCGCCATGAATTTGGATTATCAACCTTATATTAGAAGCTTTTTGTCGTACAAAGTGATCGATATTGAACTACTGCCCGCACCGTACCTGACACAATGCCTAGACTACCACCAACTGCGATTCAGGTCGCATAACCACCGAGTTAGCCAATGTCGAGCCAAGTATAACCGTAATCATTTTGCCGGCTGGCAGCTGGACATGTACTATAGCGATGAATATTACGGTAAATTGAATTATACGGATATTAGTTTAATGTACAATCGTACGCTTGATAAGCAAATAGCCGCTGACTGCGCCCAACGGATCGGCCGTAGGCCCGACTGTCACTCAATGCACTACACTATGAATAAAATTTCTAACCAACGGAGAGTTAACTATAGTAATGATTCAGCTGCTATTTTCTATGCAAATTTTTTAATGCCCACCGACACAGTCACCCGTTACGTGCACTCACCCCGTATGGAGTTATCCGAGTATATGGGCATTATTGGCGGTGTGTCGGGCCTATGGTTTGGTCTAAACATACTGGCCTTTTATGATATTGGCCAGTATTTAGTGAAAAACGTACGTGCACTTTTTAATTAATGTATTGTTCTGAATGTAATATTCTATTAACTGTATACTTCTATTATTGCTTACACATAATGTTTATAATTTAACTGAAATTTTAAATAATAAAAATATTTAAAATAAAAATATATTAAAATTTAATATAATACAATAACCATTGATTAGTCACCAATAATAATTAATCAAAGTAACTTAACACAGACCATGATAATTATTAACCCGTGCCAATTCAACGCAGTCTTGGTATTTCAATAATAACTATTAATCATGCTAACTTAACCAATCACAACATAAATTTTATTGATTGGTAGAATAGGGCAACCATTAGATATACTATATGGCTGCACAGGTATTAAACCGGTTATAATGATACCATGGGCAGGGAACAGTGGCCCTGGTCGGTAGAGTGGCCGGTACCGAGAATGTGGCCTTCATGGGCGGGAATTAAGCATAGCAACAGTATAATACACGAATGTAATGCTATAAGCCATAGACGCGTGATTTGAAAATTGGCCAGTACTCGAACGTCTCTGGCCATTTGCCGATTTTGATTAAAGATTAAACATCTGGTGACAATTCTGCACATTTTCATACCAATATCAATAAGGTTGGCCATTCGCTCCCCAAATCATTCCCCCTAAGCTTTTAATATTTTGTTTTGTTATTTATTGTCAATATATTTTTTGTTCTATATTATTTGAGTTACAAACGGGATTTCAGGGATAACTTGATCATTAAATACATATATACGTATCGATACACTATAAACTAGTTGCACATATTTAAATAACAAGTTTATATTAAAACTCAATTAAAAACTTTGCCTTGAATTAACCAAAACCATTTTTATAAATAACAAATTGTTGTATAATATTGTGAGTTTAATTAATTATATTTCATCTCAATAAGTTTACGCAATTAGTTAAAACAAATACAAATTAATTTGTAATTTAATTAGAATACAAAACATTATCTAAATAATTAAATGCCAACTGTATAATTTAAATTACAAGCAATAACACCAACTATGTTAGTTGATAAAATTAATAACTTGGTCGTCCGCGCCATCGTATGCCTGGCGTTACTGATTGGTTGCATTTGGCATATTGTGAATGTCAGTGTCATATACTTTCGGTACGAGTATTTGTTGACTATACCCTTTACTAGTGAACATTAACCGTTAGATATTACCAATTTTAATTTAATCAATACAATAGAATACATAGTGATCAATTTAATATAATTATCTCAGGCTGATTGAAGAAAATGTTGCAATACACTTATAAATAAAAAGTTTAAAGTAAAGTATAAAGTTAACTATAGTGAAAAAATTATTTTTAAAAACCTTAATGTTAAAAATCATTAATTAATTGCTTGTAAACACACAAAAAATCAAAATCAAGAAACTTGTTTTGTCAAAACTAGTTACGAGACGACAGTATCCGTAGTGCTTAAAAAGGCGCAAGTGGTAGAGCTGCCCTCATTCACTATATGCACAAATATAAGCTACGCGGTCGACGCCGACTATTTACGGCACCGGTACCCAAACGACACGGCACTGGCAAACATAACCGACACCAATGAAAACAAATGGCAATACAATCAATACCTCTATAACCTAACACTAGAGGAGCAACTATTGAACGGCACGATCGGCGCCAACCGGTTCTTTTGATTTATTGTTATTTTTTAATAGTTGATATGCACTGGCAACATAACCGACACCAATGAAAACAAATGGCAATACAATCAATACCTCTATAACCTAACACTAGAGGAGCAACTATTGAACGGCACGATCGGCGCCAACCGGTTCTTCAACTCATGCGGAGTCCTCACACCCCGTGGACTGTCGTTATCGGACACGTGGATTGACTGCGACCTAATAGCACCGGTCGTCCAATCAATTAGCATAAATTACAAATGTTTCACCATGTTCAGTCAAAATCTGAGCCAATTGGCGGACAATGAAAAGTACCGCGTGGACCACGACGTGATGTTTCGGGACAACGCATTTGCCCTGATTTGGTTCGTACTGAACGTCAAGTACTTACAGGACGTAACCATTTATATGCACGACCGGCGGGAGCCGTTTGTGGGCAACATTGGCGGACAGTTGACATACCTGGATGTGGATCATCAAAATTATGGATATAGCACTTTTTCATACAAAATGATCGACATTAAACAATTACCCTCACCCTACCAGACCCAATGCGTCGACTACCCACTACTCGGTTATAGGTCCCATACGCACAGCGTTGGCCAATGTCGAGCTAAGTATTATCGTGATCATTTTGCCGGCTGGCAGCCGGACATGATCTATCGCGATGAATATTATGGTAAACTAAATTATACTGATATTAGTTTGACAAACAATAGAACGGTAGATAAACAATTAGCGGCTGACTGCGCCCACCAGATCGGCCGTAGGCCCGACTGTCACTCCGTGTACTACACTATGAATAAAGTCTATAGCCATCAGAGAGTCAACAATAGTAATGATTCAGCTTATTTCTCTGTATCTTTTAATATGCCCGCCGGCACAATCACACGTTATGTGCACTCACCCCGTATGGAGTTGGCCGAGTATATGGGCTATATTGGTGGTGTGTCGGGCCTATGGTTTGGTCTAAACATACTGGCCTTTTATGATATTGGTCAGTATTTAGTAAGAAAGGCACGTGCACTTTTTAAATAATTTATTGTATTGAATATCATATCTAAAGTACAGTATACTTATACAGTATTATTATTTACACATAATTTATGTGATATAAATGTTTATAACTTAATCGACTTTCTTAAATAATAAAATGAATGTTTAAAGTATAACATAAAATAATGAATGCTAATATTATTTATAGGAAACAATTACAGATATTAGGTAAATGATTTTTTATTAGAATATTGTTAAAAATTAGGGTTGAGTTAATTTTAATCGAAAATGGATTTTAATTTTTGTATTTTCGTATTTCGAGGTTTAATAAGAAAAAAAATACTGTAAATATAAACTTGATAAAACAGTTATACCAATCCTTATATGGCCATCTATTTAATTTTAACATAATATCCATATTTACTGATAAGATAATCGCTAGAAAAAACTATGCAATAAAATTATTATATAAACTTAATTAATATGCAAAGTAATTTTTAAAAATAATTTCAGGGTTTTAATATTATATTATGTTTTATTATTTTTTATTGATTATGCTTTTAACTATGTCTGGTGTCTTGAAGCTACAAACGACATTTAAATTTATTAAACCCCAAGGTAAACCTCCACATTAAATAATTAAAATAAACTTATTTTTACATATAATATTATAAGTCAGGGATTCAGCAGCTCTTATAATTCACACAAATTTCGTATATATAAACTTATAAATTAATGCTAAAAGGTTGTAAAAACAAGCTATCTACTGTAGATAGCTTGTTTTTAGCATTAATTTATAAGTT